GGGCGGGGTTAATTAATTTAATGGACGGAGCTTACTCAGAATGAGATTACCAATAAACAATGTAACTATATAAAAGGCAGTTGAAATTGATGAGCAATTCTTTCTGAGTAGTATCAACAAATATTTACAATTCTTACGCGACAGTCATTTCTGAACTGTTAAGAAAATCACAGTACGCGTATAGAAACAAATTATAATTATTGAATGAAAAAGACGTTCACACCCATTAATAACATGAATATTTAAACACAATTATTTGGTACATTAATTTTTAACCAAATAAACCAATTTCTTTATTTTTTGTGATTGATACTGGTTTTCATATTTATTTTTTTATATAGAAAATTAAACTTGAATTGTTTATTTTATTCCAGAATTAGCTTTAAATAGATAATAATAATTATAGAGCAAGGCCGATCCCCATACTATACTCTGAATGCATTTTTCTTAAGTATTGGAGCTTTTGAAAAATTCTTTGTTAAACATTGCCGAGTATTATATTTCAGTCATGATTATTTTCAATGACTTCCCAATTTAATTATCTTTAGATTCTCAGTTTTAAGTGTTTTAAATGTTCGAGTGTACATCTGTAAATCACGCAAATGGAACCCTCAGATTATGTTCAAAATGAATTAATCCCGAAATAAATTTATACACAATTATTGAAACTAAGATTTTTTGAAGGACATAGATTGAAATTAGTGTCAATGTTGACCAGCGTGTTCAGTGATGTGTAACACTGATACCCAAATAACATGCATTGACTTTCTGCTAATTATGCCCAAAGGCGATTGAAACCTCAGGTGTTGACACCATTTTATACAATCCCATTATATTAACCGGCCAGGTAAACACAAACAAAAGAAATAAGAAACAAGTCACAATTCCCGATATTTTCAAATGTTTATTTCTTAACTAAATGTACTCTTTTAATGACTTGTTTATAAATTAAAAACTAATTCATAAATAAATCCCCGAATAATTGTTCACATTGTTTATGTGACAGAAGATTTTATTTCATGGTCATTAAATAAATTATTAGGTTTTATTTGAGGGTGGTAAAAAATAGCATGGAGTGCTCTTTTTTAAGCATGGTATTGGCTTTTTCAATTAAGAAAAAAATCCAGTACAGTACGTTCCTCTGAATACATGTATCTTACTGAAATGACAAGTTTGTTTTTTGTATTTTTTTTTAAATAGTGCTGATGAAAACTTTGAGTACATATGTAATTTGACAGCATTAATTTATTTGATAGGCCTAGATAATTTTTTTTCAAACACCTGTATTGAAGTTTAATTTAAGGGATAAAAATTATCCTCTGACTTCCCTTTTTAACTACTTTTATTTTCTTAAAATTAATTCTAGACTACAATTGTGTAAATTTACAGCCCTCTGAAGACATTTAGTAATTACATGTATAACTATCTCTATTTATTTAATTTTTGTAAGAAATTAACACTTGTTTTTTTTATATTTGCTTTTATCTTAAACAATCTCTCTGCAGAAAGTAAACAAAACAACAACAAGGAGCTGCAAATTCAGAATACACAAGGGGCAGAGCTATCATGTCACTCAGAACCTTTTTCACGCATGAGTGAACAAAGCAGTCCCAGGGACTGCTGGGTCTGCTTTCTAGAGCAGTCCCACAGCAGTCCCAGAGCAGTCCCATAGCGGTCCCAGAGCAGTCCCAAAGCGGTCCCAGAGCAGTCCCACAGCGGTCCCAGAGCGGTCCCAAAGCAGTCCCGGGGACTGCTTTCTTGGACTGCTTTGGTGTCAGGTTGGGTCTGGTTGGTACTGTACGGGCTAGCTGGACCGCTCGGCCATCTAAGCAAGTCAAAAAACTTGCTTTCAACGCCGATGGAATTCTCACGGCGCTGTCTTGCACTACACGTCATTGAGAATATATATATATATATATATATATATATATATATATATATAGACTTGCCTGGATAGCCGAGCGGTCTAGCGCGCTGTTCCTGTACTGCTAGGAGACAGATTCCGTAGGTCGAGAGTTCAACCCCGGGCTGGGGCGGAAGTGGGTATCCTTATAAAAGTGAATTTCTTTGTGCTTTCTATATTAATATTTCTTCACTTAGGGCAGTTATGTTAGTTTAAGAGTTGTTGTAAAATGTGTTTTATAAATAAAAATTAATTTCATTACAACGTGTATTGGTAACGATCCTCTAATAAAACTAATGTCCAAATAACTGTATCTCTCTTCCATTCTCAATGACCGTGTAGTGTAGGGCAGCGCCGCTAGAATTCCATCGGCATCGAAAGCAAGTTTTTTGACTTGCCTGGATAGCCGAGCGGTCTAGCGCGCTGTTCCTGTACTGCTAGGAGACAGATTCCGTAGGTCGAGAGTTCAACCCCGGGCTGAGGCGGAAGTGGGAATCCTTATAAAAGTGAATTTCTTTGTGCTTTCTATATATATATATATATATATATATATATATATATATATATATATATATATATATATATATATATATATATATATATATATATATATATATATATATATATATAAGAAAGAACCACTTAGAAAGGTATAAAGCATGTAGAGGGGTAATTTTCTCTCAAAATATTCGGGTTATTTATCATATATATATATTAGGGATGTCAACGAATAGTCGACTATTCGACTATCAGTCGAATGGACCGACGATCGAATAATGAATCGACATTCGAATATTATCATAATTAAATAAATGCATTAAAAGAGTGATAACGTGATGGAATTCTTTCCCCAGAAACAGTCGGTAAGATGATTTTCCTCATGAAAAAAACGGTTGATTTTTCCATGTACGTATAGAAAGTACAGTTATTATAAGTGCTTCACTATTGCCGCGTACTGCGGGTATTATTTATCAGTAACTACCTGTGTTGTTTTTGTAATTAATTACCCACCAATTTACTAGGCTTTGTTTATAAAATTATCAAGTGGACTTGACGTTATACCATGTATCAATTATTTTTTGTTATTTTAAGACTGCTCAAACGCAAGGAAGAAACCATAACTGTGACATGTTTTGACACTTCCATAATTATTAAAACAATTCGCTTACATTTTAAACTGACTGTATAAGAACATTTTGATAGCCAGAACAAACAATAATCGAATAAGGAGTATCTAACTGTTTAACAATTTCACAGGCACTTGACGTGTGGATAGTGTACATGTGAGATTAACCCTCCACCTCCCAATTTATTTCATAATAAGCTTTAAAAAATATCTCCTGGCAATTTTTTCTTTGCTTACTAAAATTAAAACTGACTGCATGTACAGACTGATTTATGAATTCTATTCACGGGGAAATCATACATTTTGGAGAATAAGGTTTCGAAATTCAAATAATTAAGCTATGCACGCGTTACGTTGCATAAATGTTGATGGTACTTTTTAAATAGATTTAAGTAAAAAGGGTTTCTGGGGTATAAATACATCATGTACCAGTGAAGTTTGAAATACAATTTTATTTTCAGAAAATGTTCCGAATATATTCGACTATCGTTCGAATAATGCAATCGAATAATCGACTAAGGAAAATAAATATTTTGACATCCCTAATATATATATATATATATATGTACACTAAATTTTTTACGGTGTCCTAACTGAAACTGAATAGGGAATCCATCCAGGTGGCAAAGACCGCATTTCTCCCGATGTTCTCATATCTATGTATTACCTGCATCTACTTCAGTCTGCTAATAAGGCAGTGCACACCAAGCGAAATTGAGGACAATTTAAGCGCGATAACTCTTTCCGATAAGCAGTACATTCCAATGCTCAGTGACCACAGACAAAGAAAAATAGAGGAGAGCGCTATAGCTCTTAAGATTAACAGTGCATTCCAATACACAATGTCCATAAAATATATTTAGGATGTTCCACTTCCCTCTTTTGATGGATCGAAGCAGAAAAAAAAAAACTGCATTAATCTCCACTAAATATTGTTTAATCTATTTAAAGGTCACGGAAAATATTATAGGCTGTCACTTTTTCAAGAATATCAGGCACTAAGGAAAGTATATAACAAAATGTTAAAAAATTCACATGAGATATGCAACTGTCCGCCTTTATCAATAAACTAAATCTACTATGTTCCTTTATATAAATGTCAATATACGAAGTTCATATAAGTAAGTATGTACGTTTGTAAGTATTTTGTATATAATTATGATATTACATTTATGAGTATACAAATGAAAAATTCAACACCCAGCCCACTGGGTTTAAATGTCACTGTGTATAACTAATCAGTGTGAACTATAAGCGATATTTTAACTCCAAAATTTGTGTTCAATCGTTTAAGCCTAGGAATAAAGATCATTATTATACTATCTATCTATCGATCTATCGATTGATCGATCGATCGAACTTTCTATTTATCGATCGATCGCGGTAGCCTAGTGGCTCTAGCTTCCTGATCGGGGGGTTCCGGTTTCAATTCTTTTCCCGTCGCCGTATCAAACCTAGGACGTACGCATAGGTAGTGACTGTATCTTTGCAAAGCCCCCGGCACTAGAAGTCATGGGTTTTTCGGCTGATACCTTAAAAACTGAGGTCGCGTGTACCAGTAAGCATCGGTCAATAAACAATCCTCACTAGTCGAAAGCCCTGAGTTCCAAGTAAAGGTCTAAATTTGAAGCCCTTATATGGCGATGCCTCTATCTGAGTGAAAGATTCTCGAAAAGGACTTAAACAAAAATCAATCAATCTACCTATCGTGTTTCTTTCTTTCATCTACTAGCTTATAAGTGAAGTAATATTGCAAGGGGTGTTCTATCTATTTATCTATTTCTTATATGATGGTATTTAGCTAGGGATGTAAAACTAGAAACAACATATCACTCTTTCTATCTACCATATACCACATTTTTTTAATATCATTTTAGGATGAACAGAGCAGCAAAATGGTTTTACACTGTGACTTTACTCTGCAGTGTATATGTGTTACAGAGTGTATACATGTTTTTCCATATCGACATAATGAGAGAACATCATGCTCCGGCACTTGAAAACCTGTTTTTACATGGTCACAGAAGACTCTTCGAGGATTTCCAAAGTTATTCCTGCCCGAGTAATATATCCCGAAACGATACGGAGGATATTCTTTGTATGGTAGATATATATATTACGGAAGCCGGTAGGTGCAGGGTAGAAAAAATATTTTATCTGGCGGCCGCTAGATAAATTTCTGGCAACCGCCAAATAATTATCTGGCGTCCGCCACATAAATAACTGGCGGCCGCCGAAAAGTTATCTGGCGGCCGCCAAATAATTTTTAATAAACCTACATGTTTGTGTAGGTCTGTCTTTTTGCCAAAAGATCATTTCTGTATAAAAAAAATACACAACACAGTTATTGAGGTCACCATATCTCTCACAATGGTAAACAGACATGTCGGACAAACTGATGGGTCCAAAATTATTAAAAATTTGATCTGTTGCCGCGACAAACTGATGGGTCCACCATCTTTTACAGATCCTTTCATACATTTGCTATCTTATTTTAATTATAAAATACATTTTTTAAATACAGGAGAGAGAAGAATTCCTCAAAAATTTCAAAAATCCATGTTGGTTCAAAGTCATAAACACAACTATGGGACTGAAGAGAGTACTACGCTGCTTTCCTTTCTTCCATATATTTGGTGTTTGTAAATCTGGAACAACAGATCTTTTCTTCCGTTTGACCCAACATCCACAGATATTAAACAACACTGGAATTTTAAATAAGGAAACTCAATTTTGGTCATGGAAACGTTTCGGGCAAGGTAACCATAGGACATTTTTAGTCAAAGATAAGATATATGTTGCCTATAGCCTCATTCAAGTACTTGAGCCCACGTTCCAGGGGACATTTTACAATTTTGACTTTGATCTATCTGTTTCGTAACTATGCAAACATTTTTGCCTGCAAAATATTCATCAGTAACGTAAAATTTTATTTGCTTTACTGTATTTAAAAATGCGCGACAAATTTAGCTCGACAGTTGGACTTTAACAATTGATCCAGGAAATATGAATCTCTTAAGTTTGATAAAAGACAAATACCCATTATTCTCGTGTAAACAGTTTGCCTCCAAGATAAAGGAATAGAAGATATTTTAAGATTGTATGATTTTAAATGATTCTAAATGGTCTAAGCCACACCCCAGGCCCGTAAAAGGTACTGAGACCAGGATGTTTACAAGTTACTTTATCAACAAACACTGAAAATGGTTTATAGTGTCTCAGCTACTTCAGAAAAATATGATACTTTAAAAAAAATAATGAATGACTTGACGAAGAAAAACAGGTACATGTACTTTTGTACATATTGAAGATACTCCAAACCTGTCTTTTCTACTACTATATCTAAGATAAATACATGTACTTGACAAAATAAATCCAACGAATTAAACCATATTTTGATCTATATGAATGAGCTTTATCTAAAGTATTTTTTAATACTTTTATCTGCATGCAATGAGTTTCAATATCTTTACAGGCAAAGTGTTTTATATCAATTAGGGATGGCAGTTGGTAACCGGTTAATTGATTACTCGGTCGGAACAATAGCAATCGGTTAAAAAATCTGTAATCGGTTAGTCGGGAAAAAATTAAAATATGTGTATATTTGACAAATATACTGAATTTCATTAAAATTTTTATCTCAATTCAATTTGAAAACATAAAATACAAACAAAGGTTGCTGATAAGTCAGGGGTTTAACGTTTGTTAAGTTCGGAGGATAATTTGGAGATAATTAATGTTCTTCGGACTGAGATCAAAGTAATTGAAAATTGGGTAATTGGTCAGTTTGTGAAGTGTTATTTATTGTTATTAAGCACAAAAGAGCAAGTTTATCCTTCATTTCTTTAAAAATTGAGTGAAAAATAAACAAATTAATTGCTGAGTACCGCTAACGTTATTGTGTAACTGATTTTAATGCATATCTTTCCACATTGTCCTCTGCATTTCTATATCAGATTAAATTTTCAACTAAAGAGTGTAAAATAATAATTTTTTATAATGATGGTAACATTGCAGAACACACTTTTGAAATCTGATTTGTTGAATTATATGTCCCAGGTATACATGTATAAACTAGGCGATTTTTCATGGTTATTGAAATTGAAATAAAATTCATATATGTTCCGGTTGAATAGAAACAAAAAACTACTAGCTGTCTTTTTTTTTTAGCTATCCGTATATATATTAATATATATTTGAGAGAATTAAACTACATTATCAATGTTATATGCATCTAATACGATTACTCGGTTACTCGGTCGGAACGTAATGCGGTTAACCGAATGAAAATTATGTATTCGATTGCCATCCCTAATATTAATACATTAAAAGCTGTTTAAACTAAGAATATATATAAACTTTATTTTAAAAAAAAAATGAACAAATTGTCATGCAGTTTTCTGATTCGGCTTAGTCCTTGATTCGCTCATGTCAAATATGAGCGCACTCATGTATCACTTTTTATTAAATTCCCTTCAGAAAGTTCTTTTATCTACGGTTTCAAAAATAAAATAAAATAAATTCATCGAAATGCTGATTATATATGTATCAAAATTGACATTTCAGGTCGACAAGTGAAATAAAACATGTCAACATGTACATGTAATTTTTGGAGTATTTCCTAAAAATCCCCACCCAAATTTAAAAATAAATTGTAGAAGTCCTTTTATTTCACATCATATAGAGAATATATTAGATTTTAAATTTAAAATTTTTTTTTAATCTATGTATAGGTCATTTTTTTCTTTAATACTAAATATATGTTTTCTATCCATTCTATTTAAAAATATCTAGACTCCCTCGGCCACAGAAAACTTACTCTGGAGGAGTTTTCAAGCTTTTTCAGGGCCAGCGAAATTGGAAAGACAAAGATTGATTTGCAAGGCAGGATGCACTACTCAGATTTAATTACAGGTACATCTGATTGTCTTCGTCGTGAACATTTTCTATCAAGTGAAGATTTATTTCTCAAATATGTTTTTAAAATTGAGTATTCATTTGAGCTCGAAAAAAGTATTTTCCTTGTTTTGGAGGTCATGAATTCAATACAAAAACTTCCAAGAATATCTGCATCAATCGTCTGTGTGTTCCAAAATTATATATATATAAAAAAAAAAAGATATCAAAAATTGGAACTGTTTGGAATACAAGTTATACAACTGAAACTATATCATTGTTGAGAAGGAAATGTCCATTTCACTATTTAAAAGAACGGCTCTTTGCAACAACAGAATGTACATGTATGAAATATGAGGTAACAAACAATTATCAAGCTCAAAAGTTTATTGGAAAGTACAGATTGGGAGCAGAGCAAACACACCTCTAAAACATCACAGGTGGGATCAGGTGCCATGGAGGAGTAAGAATGTATACATGTAGTTGCCATTTTATTATTTCCTGTTCATAATGGTATAAATATCTATATAGGTCATGCTGATCCTATGGATTTTTGGGACCATAATCATTGGCGGGAAATCCCCCAGAATGATCCCAATTCGAGCGAGCCTAAATTTCTGACACCCCATTTCGTGAGGCACGTCCAGCCGAACATCAAATTAATACTACTGCTTCGGGAACCAGCAGAAAGGTACATTGTTCAGAGCTTACTGAGAATAATATTTCGAAAATTATTAACGACATTTAAAAATTAGATCAAGGGGTATACATGTTACAGCAATCATGATCTTTACATTCTTTCTACTGTATCAAACATAAAAAATCAAATTATATTAAAGCTTCCTTGATCAATTGAAATTATGCGTATTGATGAGTTTTTTTGTTATTAAATATACTTAGCTTATATAATCCATTTCTTCAATTCAATCCAATATATCCTGCTAATACATTAATTTTTCATCAATATTCGCAAGAATTATAATAAGAATTTCACAACTGATAATACTTGTAATACAGGAAAATAAGTCAATTTCTTTGAGCTTGTTCAACCTTCGGTGACAGCCAGGAGTAATTAACTAAATTGTATATGATTTACATTAATTATGACCCCCTGGGTTAAGGCCTGTACTGGTGGACTGTTAGTCCCCGAGGGTCTCTACAGATCGGTAGCTAAGTACTTCGGTACTAGCTTGAAAATACGGATATATATTTAATTGCTGTGGTAAAATTAAATTTATTTCAAAATTAGGGATTATCTCCCTCATGCATAGCTCTGATCCTTCGACGTATTTGGCCCCAGTCTTTGGTCCCTTTTTTCAGCTCCCCAAAGTCTTTTTAAATATTTCGGATTTCCAACGTTTCGGCAGGAGCATCACTGAAGAGACATAATTTATCGAAATGTGCATCTGGTGCATCAAAATTGGTACCATATATAATTTACATTATGACCCCTGCGTCGAGGCCTCTGCTTGTGAACTGTTAGTCCCCAAGGGTCTCTACAGATCGGTAGCTAAGTACTTCGGTAATAGCTTGAAAATACGGATATGTATTAAATTGCTGTGGTAAAATTTAGAAATTTACATGTATTTCAAAATTAAGGATTATCTCCCTCATGCATAGTATTGATCCTTCGACGTATTTGCCCCAGTCTTTGGTCCCTTTTTTCAGCTTTTCAGTCTTTTTTAATTAAACATTTTGTATTTCTAACGTTTCAGCATGAGCATCACTGAAGAGACATAATTTGTCGAAATGCGCATTTGGTGCATCAAATTGGTACCGTATACAGTACCAACCGGACCCAACCTGACACCTAAGCAGTCCCAGAAAGCAGTCCCCGGGACTGCTTTGGGACCGCTCTGGGACTGCTGTGGGACTGCTCTGGGACCGCTATGGGACTGCTCTGGGACTGCTCTAGAAAGCAGACCCAGCAGTCCCTGGGACTGCTTTCTGGGACTGCTTTGTTCACTCATGCATGAAAAAGGTTCTGAGTGACATGATAGCACCGCCCCTTGTGTATTCTGAATTTGCAGGCTCCCTGTTGTTGTTTTGTATACTTTCAGCAGAGAGTTGTTTAAGATAAAGAATTAAAAAAAAAAAACCAAGGATTTTTTACATTTTAATAAGTAGAGATAGATATACATGTAATTACTAAATGTGTTCAGGGGATGTAAATTTACACAATTGTTGTCTAGAATTAATTTTAAAAAATGAAAGTAGTTAAAAAGGGAAGTCAGGAGATGATTTTTATCCTTTAAATTAAACTTTAATACAGGTATTTGAAAAAAAAATATATCTGGGCCTATTTAATTGATTAATGCTAATTGAAACTTTAATACAGATGTTTGAAAAAAATATATCGAGGCTTATTAAATTAATTAATGCTGTCAAGTTACGGAATGTACTCAAAGTTTGCATTAGCACTATTTAAAAAAAAAAACAAAAACAAAAAACAAACAAACTTGTCATTACAATAAGACATTCAGAGGGACGTACTGTACTGGATTTTTTTAAATTGAAAAAGCTAAAACCATATGCATGCTAAAAAGAGCATTCTACGCTATTTTTTACCGCCCTCAAATAAAACCTAATAATTTATTAAATGACCATGAAATAAAATTATTCTACCATTCTTCAGTCATTTAAACAATTATGTTTGTGAACAATTATTGGGGGATTCATTTATGAATTTGTTTTTGATTTATAAACAAGTTATTAAAAGAGTAAATTTATAAACATTTTAAAATATTGGGAATTGTGACTTATTTCTTATTTGTTTTGTTTGTGTTTTCCTGGCCGATTAATAAAAAGCAATACAAATGTATAAAATGGTGTCAACACCTGAGGTTTCAATCGCCTTCGGGCATGATTAGCAGAAAGTCAATGCATGTTATTTGGGTATCAGTGTTACACATCACTGAACATGCTGGTCAACAATGACACTAATTACAATCTATGTACTGCAAAAAATCTTCGTTTCAATAAATGTGTATAAATTTATTTCGGGATTAATTAATTTTGAACATAGTCTGAGGCTTCCATTCGCGTGATTTACACATGTACACTCAAACGTTTATATAATAAAAGTATTATTGTTTTCTGTTACATAGATAATCTAACGATAATTAAATTGGCAAGTCAGTGAAAATAATCGTGACTGAAATACAATACACAAAGAATTTTTCAAAAGCTCCAGTACTTAAGAAAACTGCATTCAGAGTATAGTATGGAAATCGGCCTTGCTCTATAATTATAAGGCCTATTTAAAGCTAGTTTTGATAGAAAATAAAAAAAACTCAAGTTTAATTTTCTATTAAAAAAAAATAAAAAAATATGGAAACCAATATCAATCACAGTAATTTAGAAATTGATTTATTTTGGTGAAAAATTAATATACCACAAAACTGTGTTTAAATATTCATGTTATTAGTAGGTGTGAACGTCTTTTTTGTTCAATATTTATTATTTGTTTCTATACGCGTAGTGTGATTTTCTTAACAGTTCAAAAATGACTGTCGCATGAGAATTGATACTGCTCAGAGAGAAATGGATCATCAATTTGAACTGCCTTTTATAGTTACATTGTTTATTGGTAATCTCATTTCTGACTAAGCTCCGCCCATTAAATTAATTAACCCCGCCCACTGGGACTGCTTTCTGGGACCGCTGGGACTGCTGGAACTGCTCTGGGACTGCTCTGGGACCGCTCTGGGACTGCTCTGGGACTGCTTTAGCAGTCCCAGAGCAGTCCCAGAAAGCAGTCCCCGGGACTGCTCTGGGACTGCTTTGTGTCAGGTTGGGTCTGGTTGGTACTGTATGATTTACATTGATGAGGAAGCGATGCAAACTTATTCAAGAGAAATGTAGAGCATCTGATGAAATTATTAATTTTCGTCGGATTTATTTATTTTATTTATTTATTTTTTTTTTGTGGTATATGAATGAACCCCTGAATTCATGTCCTCTACGAAATATAAAATTGGAAATATGTTCAACTGATCACCTTTCCAATCACAAATTCAAATGTCCACGCACCAATATATTTTCTTTAAATCACAAAAAATTTACCCAATAATTTTACAGTAGATGTTTAGTTATCCACGCTTACACTAAGAAAAAATCTAAACGATTACCTCAATTTAATCGTTTAAAAGAATAAACTTTTTTAAAATATATATAAAGAACAAAAAATAGATTTTACAAAGCTTTCAAATAAACCATTATTGGTCAACACAGATAAACTTTGCAACAGTTTGTACAGTACATTTTTTTATATGCAAAATACAATTCTAAACTGGAATTGATGATTGAAATTCAATGCAATGTTTTTCTCTTAGTCAGATATATACTGAAATGAATCAAACGCAGGGTAACATAATTCGGGAAATATTTTTGATTGCGTGGCCGAAAATTATGAAAACTGCTCAGATGTGTTTCTTGGTAACTGTGCACTAAAATCGGTTTTCAAAATTATTCAACCGTGAAATGTATGACGTCACGTAGGGACTAGGGAAAGTGGTGAAAAGCCAGAAACACATGGATATTGATGATGGCAGGTTTATTAACACACTTTTTCGTACCACTTGATGCACTGGAGGTATACATATCGTTTTACGATATTTACAGTCAATATGAATTTCGTAAAATCATGGTACGGCTGACGGAAGTTCTATTGAATCTGGTAATTGAATTACCTATAAGTGAAGATAAAGGCAACAACAAGTTGCTGTGCAGTTAGTTATTATTAATTTTTCCACCATAGAACATTTCCACCAAAGAACTGGTATGGTTTCCAGCCAACCGTGAAGGTGATGCTGGCGCGTAACAACGACATAGTAAGATAGGGCTATTCATACTGCCACCTGTGTAATCGCCAAGTCATTACCACTGAGACTACTTTTAAAGCTGAACACAATTCGTAAAAGGAATTTGTCCGCCATATTCGATTGGTTTCTCGCTTTATCTGTGGCCCCATATATAAAGCCGCTGACTTAATCACTGTTCAATGTAATCAATCATTACCGGTGTAGATGGACGTATGCTATACAGCACTCGGTAGCGACAAAAATAACTTTAACTGTGTACTTCTAAGGAGAGTAAGATACCAAAGAAACTTACAACATTTGCACAGGTCAGTGCAGTATACAAACAAATACAAATACACGTAACTGCAATAAAATGTAAACAATGGTAATGTAAGATAACCAGCATGATCACGTGTCACCATTCCACGCCGATACCCGTGACAATAAAGCAATCAGGTGTAACAAATGCGAAGAGTATATCTCAGTGCTGATATCGTAGCTAGTAGTCTCGAAAATGGCATATGCCTATTTACGAGTCGTGTCCAGCTTTAATACAGTAGGCAATCATAATCGTTACATTCAACCCAAGCCTGAAAAAAAAAAAACTGAATGCTTTTATTTGGGTTTGTGAGCTCGTCAACTTTAAGTATGTGTTACTCTCACTAGCGCACTTGTGTGTCGTATGCCTGTTTCTTTTTAGCATGTCCATACCTGGTAAAGTGTAGCTAGAATTTGTCCAGACTTTCTCACAAACAATCATATTAATCAAATTAAGTGGCCTCCTTGAAGTCTATTTTTTTCTCCAATCAAGCATCTGTGGGAATAACTGGAAGGTAGGGTTTGAAGGCATCGGAAAGCCCCAGCTACTCTCGACCAACTAGGGGTCACCTTGTCGAAAGGGTTGAACAATATCCCTATGAAAAAGATAAATGCACTGATGAACTCCATGTAGAGGAGAATCAAGGCTGTGAACACGGCTATCACGCCCTTTGGCAAAAAGTTTAAATGTTGCTCACATTATCTTGTATTTACTTTTGCTTATATATTTGATAGTTATTTATAGTTTTCTAACTTAAACTTTTGCCCCCCCCCCCCGTCTATTTTCCTGTTACAAATTAAAATTATCCTGCTATTTCTTTTAAGAACTAAAAAAAGTTTTATAATTTGCAATGTACTTTGGAGAGTAATTTTACTAGGAGTATATATTTTTGCTTTAGAAAAAAAGAAAAAAATATTAATGAAAGATAACTCTTGCTGAAATTGTGTACCAGCATAGATAAACAACCTGATATTCTGACTTAAGCATCGCTTCATTATGTTTCTGATATGACTTTAGAATGTAAGACACTTAATAATTTTTTAAAATATATATATCACATTTTAAATTTTATGTTGTGATGTTAAACTAGTGCTCTTTCTATTTGCTATGTTAAATTTTCTCAATAACATGGTTAGACATAAAATTAATATTTTCGAAAAATTAAGCCTCGTTCATATAACTCAAACCTTATTACATTTGAATCTAAAACTTTTATTGTTGATGAAAATCAATGCCATTTTTATTTATTTTTTTTATGAAATGTAGAACAGAGGGACAATAGGCCTTCATTCATTTTAATTAATTAAGAGTAATTCACACCTTAAACTTAGGCTTTGTTTTTTTTTTAAGTTTATGGTTAGGCGGTGTATGAAGGGTCTAAAGGAAAAAAATGTCAAAATAATATATTCTATTCTATTTTAAGCTATAACTGCCAAAAGGGGGCAAATAAAATACCGTATTAATCTAAAACAAAGGAAAAAATTACAATTTGTGATTGTTGATGGTGCTGAAATTGCAGTTTTTCTTTCTTTTTTAAAATTTATTCTTCTTATTCTGATTTTGTCCTTTTTTTCTTCTGTTTTCTTTTGATTTTTTTTTTTTTCAATTCTTGTTCCTTTGATAAAATTTTATAAGAACGAGAATATTATTCACTACTTAAGCAGTTATATATAATTTTCAGACTTTACAGTCATTATCTGCATGGATATTATGGTCACACACCAGAAGATTTTCACAGTTCAGTCCTTAAAGGCATAGAACTCTTCAACACATGCTTGACCAATTGCAGTCTGAAGACGTGCTTATACAAATCTGACTTATCTAAAGATATGAAAGTGAGTGAAGTAAAGTTAAATAAAACATCATACATGTTTTTAATTTGTTTTCTCATATCCATTCGATTCGAAAATCTTTCAAATTGATAGAAATGTGCATTTAGAGACTAAAATAATATTTGAATATAATTACAGAATAAATGAAAATTTTTTATTTGCATGAAATATATGGAGATAACGAACAGTATTCAAGCTCAAAAGTCCATTAATCAATACAAAATAGGAGCAGAGCAAACACGGACCTCCAAACATCAGAGGTGGGATCAGGTGCCATGAAGGAGTGAGCATCCCCTGCCGACCGGTCACACCCGCCGTGTGCTCCTTGTCATGATCGGGAAATAACGGAATAATCCGTCGACAATTCAGTGTGTAAATAATGGCCTAACAATTAGTATGAAAAACGTCAGTCAGCATTTGACTCAATGATAAATTGTATTTGCTGACAAGGTCATTGTATCGACCATAGAACTTACGAAATGATGACTTTAAACGAGACAGCTGATATTCTTGTTTCATCAACTTATTTGTCAATAATTTACCTCGTTTTAGAAATTGTACATACGTAGAGCATGCTCTTGCGTATCGAATCAACTGAGAGATATATACCCCGTATGCAGGTGATGAAGGTATATTGCTGCATAAGTAAGGGAAGTTGACGATTGAAAAGTTAAAGTCATCACGTTTATCATAAAGCTTGGTTGTTAGATTACCATTAACGTCTTTTTCAAGTAAAATATCCAAATATGAAACAGATGTGTCAGACTCTGTGGTATCTTTCACAAGGATATATCGTATCGACATAAGAATGGAAATAACCATTGTTAATTGACAATACGTCGTCGATATATCTAAATGTCGAGTTGAAGGCCACAGCAAGTGTTTTCTTCTTTTCACGTACAAGATTTTGGACAAATTCTGCTTCATATGAATACAAAAAAAGGTCTGCTAATAACGGGGCGCAATTGGTACCCATGGGAATTCCAATAGATTGTTGGAAGACCTGGTCTCCAAAAACCACATAGATATTGTTAATCAGAAACTCAAGCATCTTTTTAATGTCAACTTCAGAGTACTTGCTTGTGTGAACAACCAGAATGTTTTTTAACAAAATAATTTTGCAAATGACCAATGACAAGGTAAGTATATTTACGAGTTCCATTTTTATTGAGAAAGCAGCTGCCAATGATATCAAAAAGCCTGGACTTTAATTTATCGTGGGGAATGGTTGTGTACAAAGTTGAAAAGTCGTAAGTTTTTAAGCTGTTGATTTTGGTAAAATCTTGTGATTTCAAATTTTCCAAAAGTTCCTTGGAATTTTTAAGTATCCACATCTGATTTACACCACTTCTCGAATATATTGTTGCACAGTACTCTTGAAGTTTCTCCTTCACCACTTTTAATATCTTAGTGAGGAGTAAAGATAGAGGCTTGGTTGAACATTTACTGGAACCCGCTATGTATCTTTGTTTGTAAGGATTTTAATGAAGTTTCGAAATCCAATATAAATATGGTAATTCAAATTCATTTTGGTTGTTTGGAATATTAAAAATATTCAAAACTGACATGATTTTGAAGAATATCTTCCTTAGAAAGGGAACTATGAGTATAAGTTGGATTACCACTTGTAGAATTAAATCCAAGTTCCTCTAAAATGCATTTAATATAATGAGCCTTATAAACAAAGACAATGTTGTTACCTGCTTTGTCAGCAGGGACCAGTACGTACTGATCATGTAATCTAACTTATTCTTTTTTCACTTCTGGATTATTGAATACAGAAGGATAGATGGTTTTCATATTGCCTTTATTTTTGCAAACAGGATATATCAAAATTACTTCTCATATTAAGACATTTCACTATCTTTTTATATGTTCTAAACCTGATTTAAAAATAAGATCAAATTAGAATACTGTAACCTTTTGCAATTAAATATTCTAGTTGTAATCGTTGCAAATGTCGTAAACTTTATATGTTTCCAATAATTAATGTCTGTATTAGTCAATGGAACTTGTTTTTTAAGTATGCATAAAATTTCATTAATATCTTACATATAATGACAATGTATTTTAATTCTAATTAAAGATGTTTCCTAACCTATATGATAATTAACTTTTTAAAATGAAAATTACTTTTTAAACTTTTCAAAATAGAATTGCTAAGTGATATAAATCAAATATAGTTAAAAGTGTTTTGCTCCAAAATAGTTTTTAGATTTTTCGTTTTAAGAGAAGAGACATATTTTGCTTTGACCTTGTCCTGTTTACACTATTTTCAGCTCCCACTATCTGCTAGTCTGTATTATATCCATCTACTAGAATGGCTGGATGTGTTTCCAAGGGAACAATTTCTAGTTCTAAGAACCGAAGACTACCATAAGGATATGAAATACAGCCTTTTTAGATTATTTTCGTTTCTTGGTGTTGGTAAGTAGAGTATACATGTTTTATAAATATTAACACATGTATTTGTATTTAATTTAAACTACCTCTAATCAGGAATTTTCAAAGAGGTTTTGACCGGTCAGTGTAGCCTAGTGGAAGGCGTTCGCTTCGTGATCTAGACGTCCGGGTTCGATTCTCGTTCGCCGCACTGCGTCAAGCCTAAGTCGCAAAGATAGGTAGTGACTGTTCCTTCGCCAAGCTACATGCATTGGAAGTGAAGGTCAAAGGTCTTTCGGATGGGACCTTAAAACCCAAGGTCCCGGTAGGCGTTTGCACGATAAAGAACCCTCACTGTTAAATGGCCCTGAGTGCCAAGTATAGGTCTAAATCTGAAACCCTTCACCGGTATATGGTAACGTCTCTGTACGAGTGAAAAATTCTCGAATGAGGCGTAAAACAATATACAATCAATCAATCAATTAATCAAAGAGATTTCATTTTTTCTGTGTTTGCATTCCGGTTTTTGTTTGGATTAATATAACAAAATGTTTAAAACGAATACTTATTTTGCATACTAGTATTATATTTTTAAGAAGATAGAAGAAATATGGATCGTGCTTAGATCTTATTCTTATGTTTATTTTACAAACTGCTAATTTTATGTAAAATCACTGCTCAAATATCATGCTTCTTTATATTTAACAGAAATCTCATGTATTTTGTTCTTTTGTAGGAGATGTTTATTCTGACGTTATGGAACGTACTATAAAGTTGCCACACAAATACGTGACAAAAATCAAATTAGAGCAGGGACCTATGTTGATAGAAACATGGAACATATTAACTGAATTTTTCAAGGAACCTAACAGAAAATTGGCAGCAATATTAAATGATGAACGGTACCTATGGAAGGACGCAACATTCAAGTTTAGAGCTAAACAGCTACCAAAAACCAAACAGAAACGTCATCAACACCTTCAGCACTAGATCACACTTTTGTTAACAAAAGCAAATCAAAGAACATTCAAAAAGTGACGAAACAAACACCAAGAAAACAAACAAAGGTGTCAAATAAAATTCTAAATCAAAGTTTTGTGAATAAAAGTATATCAGAGGGTCAGCGAGCGCCTAAAGTGATACCCAAAACACATAAAAAGACTTCAAAAGAAACGTTAAAGCAAACTTTTGTTCACAGTAGTAAATGAAATGGTAAAATTAAGACCTCGCAGAGAGTGTCTCCTGCGAAGATACCAAAACCATCAAGGGTATCAAAAGTTACAAGTAATCAAACCTTAGTCAAACAAGCAAACATAGGCAGCACACGGAGAGTGCCTAAACAGTCACCTAGAAAAATGTCACAAGATACACTTAATCAAAACGTCGTGAGCAAAACAAAAATAGGGAACACTCGAAGTGTGCCTAATCATATTTTCAGAATGTATAAAACTGTATCAAAGGGCTCAATTAATCCAACCACCCTTAGCAAAATAAAGACCACTCGTAGACCCACCACCTCTACTACATCACAACAACAAGGAGGGAAAGAAAAACATTAATTGAGAAAAGTGAAGTGAATATATAATTGAATTATTATTTTTTCTGACACGGAAATCTTCCTCTTGGCAGAATTTTTTTTTTTGAAAAATGATGTGTACAAGATTTTCATTTAATCTTACTAACCTCATTTTTATTGATTAATATTCCTCGAGATAATTTTTCACTCACATGTAGACGCTAACACTTGCCGGTGGAGAGCTATATATTTTGACCTATACTCGGCACTAAGGGCCTTTGAGCATTAAGGGATCTTTTTCGTGCCAGCACCTATTGCGACACAAGACCTCGGTTTATACGGTCTCATCCGAAGGACCGGTCTCCACTCCCCATAGTGGGATTCGAATAACCTCTGAAATAAACAAACATCGTAATTAATTATTTTCCTCTCCCCCTGCATATCTTTTTCATACCTTTCATTGGAATCTTGTAGAAGCAATCATACTAATCCAAAAATCATGTACTGTAAAATCACTTATTTTTGTGGGTCAAATTGTCATCGTTTTGGAAGAAAATATTGGTTCGAGGGAATTAGGTTGTGTGGATGAAGAAATGTCTAGTTTTGATTACAAATTTTAACTATTCATGGTAAACAGGAATTTGCGGGATCATGGGATACCACGAAAACAACAAGAATTAAACCCAACTAAAATTTGTGAATTTACGGCATATATCTCACAGGAAATAATAAGAATACGATAATCAAAAATTATATCTTTCAAGAAGACAAAATCATGCTGAAATACAAATGTTCTAATGCTTGGAAAGGAAATTAAATTGAACATATCTTAAAAGAGAAAAGCACTCCATTTTAAAAGAGGAATATTAAGTATTTTACAAGAACTATATTTAAAAAAGATTTATTAATGTTTATAAATTTAAAACATACCAATGCGTTTTGATTGGGAAAAAAATTAAAGAAAAAGATATACACTTGTACTATAACTATTACTTTTGAAAAGTTTTCATAGAAAACGTGTACTATAATTTTATTCCTTAGACAGAGATATTTTTTTTTTCATTTCATCCAAAGATAAAATCTTTATATTCTGTATCAATCTATAAATAGTATATTTTATTAAATGGCTCTTAATCTAATAGTTTTCTGTAAATTATTTCCCTATGCAAGCTAATCTTTTGGTTGGGTTTGAATGAGATTGGATAGTAAATCTAAGTTTTTAAGATCTAGTCTGTTTTATGCTATCGTTCTTACACGTGCAAGGCCGTAATAACTATTTAGCCAAGTTTGAAGAATGATCTGAACTGCTATAATGTGTTTACTTTTTTGTGGCCGGGTATATTTGTCAATTTTTCAAAACCTTAAAACATGTCATACTGATATGCTCTTGGAAAAGTGGTGTGGTACATAGTATTTCAAGTCATCTTTTATTCAGATATGATTTTGTTGTGGATATATATATCGATCATGTCAAAAGAAAGATTAATCTGAATGTGCAGTTTTTGATACTTTTGAATTATGCATACGCACAATTGAAAATAACTTTAAATAATTGGTCTGTGTCTAATTCTAGCTGCAAGAACAGTTTGGATAAGAAAATAGTAAGATCTTGCGTACAAAGATTTTGTATTCTACTTGAAGTAATGTAACTGATTTTGAGACTTGATTATACATATTAAGTTGTTCTTTTCATGGTCAAGCAATAAGTCTTTGTAACTGAACTCCTCTTTTTTCATATTATGTCGCCCGCGTGGCGCAGTGGTTAGAGCATTCGCTCTAGCGTCGCGGAGTAAGGAGTTGATCCTTACGTCGCGGGTTCGAATCCCACTGTGGGACCGGTCCTTCGGATGAAACCGTATAAACAGAGGTCCCGTTGGTGCTGTCACGAAAAAGATCTCTCACAGCTCAATGGCCCTGAGTGCCGAGTATAGGTCAAAATTTGTAGCTCTCCACCGGCAAGTGGTGGCGTGTCCATATGAGTGAAAAATTCTCGAGAGGGACGTTAACAATAAACAAACAGACAGAATTCTTCATATTTTCTTCTTTTTCTTTGTTTAATTTATATACACTATTTCAATATTGCTGGTATTTAGTTTATTTTATTTATCAATATGCATGCCACGGTTATCTTCATATTTGGAATATACTTGTCAAGATCTAAAAGGTGGCAAAGATGCATTTTATTACTCATTTCATTAACCGCAGAAACATACATGTATTAGAATGACCAGCAATTTATCTACACTATCTACTCTAGATCTGTGAAATTCATATACTGACCACGATTTCAGAATGAACGATATATAATATATTAATATAAACATTTTTCGTACATTAGACTGTATGAAAGTGTATGCAGCGACATCGCCATAAAATATTTTTCGTACATTAGACTGTATGAAAGTGTATGCAGCGACATCGCCATAAAATATTTTTAATTCATCTATTTTCGGACATTGTTCATGTTCATTAAGATATCAAGCCTAGCACTTGAATTTTATCACCTTAATTAAAATCAAAGAGAAAAAACCTTTAATCGAAAATAGTGGGAAGAAGTAGATTCCGCTACTTAATAAAGGGGGGGGGGGAGGGTCCGTACTAAAAATGACATGTCCCAGCTGTATACAAGAAACACTGGGATATGTCATTTTTAATACGTGCATAATATCAAATTTCCGTGGCCATCTAGTGTATATCAAGTAGAATGTAGAAAGATTAACATTTTGCACTTAAAAATTATTACGATTACAGTTCGAATTTTCTCGACAATATATTGTATAGAAAATACATTATCCTTGACCAAAGTGCCTATGCACCTGACTGCATTCTTATCACGGGTACATGTATCTGCGTGGAATGGACGACCCGTTTTCATATTGGTTATCTTACATCATCAGTGCAGTTTACGTGCCTGTATTTTTGTAATGTTTGTAATACACTGTCATGTGCAACTGTTTTAGTTGTTTACTTTCTTTCCTGCCGTGGAGGAAACACACAGTTACTTTTGTCGCTACCGGGTGTTTTATAACAACATCCGTCTACACAAGTGAACACTGGTTAAATTGAACCGTGACTTTAGAAGTGAGTAGCTTATATAGGGGTCTCAGTTATAACGATAGGATAAGACAAATATGGCAGACAAATTCCTTTTACGATTCGTGTTCAGCTTTAAGATTTAGATTTAAAAAATCTGAATAATTGTAACCGGAAAAATATTAGCATCTCAAGCACCGTTTCAACATTTCACGATCAGTCAAACATCATATTTCTGGATAATTGCTTCTATAGTGATTTTTTTTTTAGATTTTTTTATGCCTAGATTTAAAAGGAAAAGAAATTGTAACTGTTTAACAGAAGGAAGCGTTGTTCAGACACGAATGAGCAGAACTGACACTGATTAAATACATGAAAGAACATGTGCTGCTTTCTCCTAAATATTTGTTTTAGCTTTCCATCGCCAGTTTGAAGCATTATTTCAAATAAAGGTTTTTTCGGAAACAATAGATATTTTTCAGATAACATGACTGTGTTATTTTTCCTATAAATTGGTTTCATCATTATTTGAGAGAAAATTCATATTATGATATTTCAATGTATAAACACAAATGAACTGAGTTTCAACACAGCACATACATCTGATTAGATGTGATACATGTACGAAGGTTGATCCAAAAGTAACTAAATGAATAAGTAATGATTTTCAAGAAGTGTTCCATCTAAAATCCACACTTGGGAATGTACTTTTAGCTGAAATATTGATTTTCTCACAAAACCATCTTCTTGAAGGTTACTACTCAGAAAAACTTCATTCTAGTTTTGGAAAATATAAATATTTGGTGTATATGATAATTATGTATATATGATTGGTGTTAATTTTTGGAATTCCAATGCTTGAAGGTATACTATTGTTTAATGATGAACTTTAAGTGAAGTGTTTCGATATTTTTCAAGTGTCAGAGATGAGGACTAATGATTTATCCATCACTTTTATTAAATTTATTAGATATGTAAATCAATGCTGAGATAAATATAGTTTAAATAGGAAGAGTGTTCCTTTTAATCATTAGGTTTGGGGAAGGAAGTGAACAATGTATAGGTACGTGTATTAGAAGAGCGTAGGGAAGAGATATAAATATTTCAGGGATCGTGAAAATTATGCAATGATAAAGGCTTAAGAAATTTTCATTGCTTTATTAAAAATGAAAAATCATAATACTATTAATACGCGTGTATGTTAGATGTAAGGATTCGTCAAAAAATATCTTCAATCCGTTGAATGCATTTCGAAGGAGGTGATTATAGTTTTATAATTTTAAAATAATCTATTATCAAATCCTACTAGTTTTTATTATTTAATTATGGAATTTTTGCTAAGGTCAAATGTATTTGTTTATTCAGATGTCTTGTTCATTTTCCACAGATTATATTTTCATGTAAGGATAAACACAGAAGTTTCCTGTTTCATTAGCCAAAC